CGAGCCTCTAAATTAATGCCACCCCATACCATTACCAAGCCGCCGCCATACTGTACAGTCCCTACGGTGTTACACTGTGCGTAGCGTTCCCCAGGCCTTCTATACACTCGGTTTCTCCTGTCATCAGAAAAAAGACAGTACCTGGATTCATCGGTGAACAATATTCTTCCCCAATCGTCATTATTCCAATCAACATGTTCACGAGCAAAATTCAATCTTTGCCTTCTATGGTCTCTGGTCAATAATGGGCCAATTGGTGCCCTTCCAGGGTGTAGGTCGTTTTCGGCAAGTCTTCTTCTAATTGTATTTTGGCTGATTCTAAAGTTATAACGATCCAAAAATTCATTTTGTAGAGAAGTACTGGAAACAACCCTTTGGTCTCAGTGTACGAAGTGTCAAAAACCGGTCTTGATTAGGAGTTGTAACCCTTTTACGGCCTTGACCGGGTCTTCTCGAGTTACTTCCAGTAACAGAAAAACGTGTTAACACTCTTGAAATTGTTGACTGGGTGACGTTAAAACGTTCAGCGAGTTCTACTTGAGTGTATCCTTCTTCGCGAAGAGTAACGATTCTAAAACAGTCACTTTCTGACAAATTTCGATTTTCTTGCTGCGGATGGTTCATTTCAAAGAAAAAACACTTAATAAACTTGAAAAACCCCTTTAAACGTTCAGCACAACGAAATCCAACCCAACTAAATTCGAAATAAAATGAAGCACAATTAGCATGTTTTTAATTTTTTGCAAAAAAATGATAAAAACATCAGCGTTTTTTACCGTTCTTTCGATAAATTTTACAATATACCGGGGGTAACGATAATATATTAGCACAAAAATCGAAACATTAAAATTATTTAATTTACCAGGGTTTTTAAAATTATGCGTTAATTTTGGGGTGCAGTGTAGATGGAAAATTATGAGGGAGATCTATGTCCAGCAGTGGATAAGCGAAGATTGAATGATGATGATGCAATTGAAAGACCTCATATTAGGTAATAAAGTCACGAAACACCAAAACGTTACGCCGCGTAATAGTTTGCAAAATAAGAAATACATTTTTTTTGGGTCAAATAGACCCGAACAGGACAGCAGGGTTAAACTTATCTCGCGACAAATGTAGCGTTACTAAAAAAAAATGTTTATGTTTAGTTCTAACTGAATTTCTAGTTTCCGTTCTGTTAGAATACAGGCAAGGCATTTAGATAATTAATAGTTTGGCGTTTAAAAATTTGTTATGTCTACTGCAACATTTTAGTATAATCATATAAACGAGCTAAACAATTATTGATGTATACGTTCGTTGTAATAAAATATTTGAGTTAAATTGATTGTCATCACAATGAAAAATTATTGCCTTCTAAGTAACAAAATGTTTATTTATTTATGTAACGAAGTTTAAGCATTATTTAAATTGTCATAAATAATTTGTGCAAACATAATTTATTGTCCAACTATTTGCAATAATAATTTGCTGAATATGGAATTTATGGATTGCTTTTTTTATTGTTCTGTTGTGTCAATGTAAAATGTTTTAAATATAGCAATGGTTTTGTGAATTTAATATCGTTATTATCAATATTTTAAACAGTAAATATGTGCCGAATGCAGTGAATAAAGCTGTAATCCTAAACTTACAAGATCACACAAGTTCGCCGCACATTAAGGAATTGAATACTGTCAATCGTCATTTACCTTCATATCTGTACATTTCAAAAATTATGCGTTTTGTTATATTTAATTTTTTTTATTTACGAGTAATTTTCGTCTTAAAAAAGATTCAGTTTCGATGTCAAGGTTAAACTACCATTAAAAAACTGATGTCTTGTCATTAAAATCTCATTATATATAACAATTTTCTCGATGACTATATACTATATATACATTGACTCGATACTGCAAAACTACAATAATTACGTTACAATAAATCAAGATCGGTTGCTAGAATCAAATTTTGTTATTTTCTACTGGCGCCATCTTGTGGAGACTTGCTAAAATTTAAACAATGGAGTTATGGTTCTTCTGGGTCCCATTTCTTTTTAATATGTGTACTAAATAGCGACAAAAAATTGTATATCGGTGATTACTCCTCAAAGAAATTCAACTAATTCAATATCCCAATATCCATTCAGCCAAATATTGTGTCAAGATTTAGGTAGAGATATTTAATTGGTTGGCATGCATCAATTTCTAACCAATGGAATCGTGCCAATATTCGGATTAGAATTTGCCGTTCCGCGAGCGAACATTATCGGACATTTTTCTCATTTGGCCCCGGTGAAGATAGCTTCAATTAGCTGTCAATTAAGTTTCACAGAACGAAATATTGCGTTGGCAGTGTTGCCAAGTCCTTAAAATGTATATATTATATAGAATTTTTCGGTTGAGTTTACTGAAAGTACAAGCTGATTATGGCCGCAAATGTCAAACATGAAACAAAAAATTTTGGTATAGCAGTATTGGCATGTTTTTATAATGTAGATGCTGTATGCTTCAAATATAAAAAGATAAAGCTTTAGAAAAGTACATGTTGTTTATATTATGTTATAAATTCGGCAATTTTTGATTTGTATAAAACAAGAATGAGTAAGTATTTGTTTCTTTGGAGATTAATTGCAGTTAATTGTTAGAAATTTTTTTGGCAATTACCTTTTGATATATCAGGGAATAGATTTGGCAATCGTCAAATCAGCAAGTGCCAGATTGCAACAGATGTTTGCAATTAATCTCGAAAGAGACAAATATGTATCTACGTTATTGCTTCATATAAATTAAAAATTGCAGAGTTCATAAAATAGTATAATCAAAATGTACTTTTTAAAAGCTTTCTCTCTTTATATTTAAAGCATATAACATATGCATTATAAAAACATCCCAACACTGCTAAACCCAAATATTTTTGACATTTGCGGCTATATTCAGCTTGTGCTTTCGGTAAACTCAACCAATTTTTCATATAAATTGATTGCACACCATCAAGATTTACGACGTCAGAATCCCACAGCGTTGCCAAAACATCAGAATAGTTATTAAGTGAGGAATTTTTAAAATGTCAACTATATGTCATTATATTAACAGTAAATACACTTAGTTTTAAAACTACTGCAACACACTAAAATACATAAGAAAACATTTTAATACTAAATTATGTGTTTTAAATTTTAAACTTACATCTTTTAGAGCAATAATTGTAAAAACGTCCCGTCATTATTTCTTGTTCAAAATAATCTATCTCATATGAAAGCTTATCAGCTTTCTACAGAATGTTTAGTTGTTTTGGCATAGCACAATCACAATACACAACAATAATTAGTTTTTAAAGCTATTAATCTAAATTTAATATGTATTTATAAATACAATTTATTAATATATAATATATTATGATTATACTGTGTAAGAAATCAAAACATAAACAAAATTCTTACTCTAAAAAAAGCGGCAACACTTTAAACAATTTTGCCACACGCTGAACTGTCTAATCTATTTGATTAAAATTATTATTTTGTGGAATATTAGACTTAAAGAGTTATTTCATAAAATTCATATTATTAATAATAACAAATGTTTTTGGTTATTTAATTAATATAATTCTAAAATTCCCAATATAATGATGATTACATTTTTCTGATTATTATACCATGTTGACGCCTATGAAAGATCGAGCAGTTCTGTATGGGTTTCATATTATTAGCTGTTAGAAAAATTTGAACTTTAAGGTTGACCATCTGGAATTTTTAAATATAAGTGACGTCACTTTATATAAATTGTGACGTGCAACGTTTTTACTTTGAAAAATGGTATATAAGCCTTTTATATGTTAGCGAATAGATTTGGCAATAGAGTCAGAACCTTAGACACGGAAAGAGAGGGGACGCGTAATCCTATGGAATTGACTGAAGCCTGAACCGGCACCAGAAAGGTTGCCAGGTCATATTTTAGTTCCTCAGTAGATTGGAATAATGGATATATATATACCTATCATTAAATAGATTTTTTTCAAAATTTATAATTGAACACTGATACAATGATCACTTTTTGTACATGATTTTATCATTACATATGTTTTACTAGATCGATATATTGTTTCAGTAAATCAGTAAATTGAAGTTAAAATCAGTAGATCTACTGAAACATCAGTAGACCTGGCAACCTTGCAAGAAGTAGTAATGGGCAACGTACAGGCACCAAAACATGGCGGTCACATCGAAACTGGCTTCACTTTGCGAAGTTCTATTAAATGAGCGTTACCTGTCCTCTCTCTTTCCTTGTTTAAGGTACCCTCAAACCACCAGTTACCATATTACAACCTATGTCTTTTTAACTTTATTATTTGTACTGACATTTTACTACATATTTACTTTTAAAAACTGTTTTAAAACTATTTACTTTATCTTTTTTGGTAATTCTAAACTATTAATTTTTAAAGATCTTATTGCTTTTGACTGCATATGTTTTATTTGTAATGTAAATTTCAACACTGCTAATTACCAATATCTCGTGATCTACTCATTAAAGGCTATCTTTACTGGGACCAAATGTGAAAAATGTCTACAATATCTTACGGTCTTTAGGCGCTTGTGACGTTTTCCACGGGATTTACCGCGTGGTATTTATATCCCAGAAAAATTCCCTGTTTCTGTCCTGCAGCCTGGATCGAACTCTGTTTGTTTTGTTAGTTTTGGCCTACGCGGGGTGCCTTGGTTCCAATCATATTTGGGATGTATTTCCCTATCAGTTACCTGGAGGTGCCCTTCAGATGTGTGACTAGCAACCTCACACGAGGATATATAACGATAATCAATTTAAAACGATTCAATGATTTAATGTTGGTTCTTTCGACATTTCTTGGACTCCTAATGAAGCTTGAATATTCAATTTCGATTTGGTTCCATAGATAAAAAAGTCTGCACATCGATTTATTGTATAGTATGTTAAGAATTTTAAAATAATAATGAAATTCCAATTCAGTTGTATAACTTAATGAATTTTTACTAATTTTTGCAGTGGTTCGAAGAAAAACAATATACGAATACGATAGAGTTCATTTCAACAAGACATACATTAAAAACTGGACTACTATTGTGTTGAGAGCTCTGCCTACATGTCTGGATGCGACTGATTGCACCACGTGTTTGTCCAGGAAGTTGAACTTTAAGGTATGTATTTGCATTAGTTTTACAAAAAAAAAAACAGATTATCCTACATTCCTCCTCTACATACATGTAGAATATTCTGTAATACACTACCAAACATTAAATGAGGATAGTATCGTAATTTCTTTGCTATTTTATAGCTATTTTATAGTATCTTCTTCGGGTTCCTTCTCCTAGCGGAGGTTGGAAATCATCATCGCTATTTTAACTTTGTTGGCCGCATTTCTGAATAATTCTAATGAGCTATTTTATAGTATATAGATATATTATAGATTTTTTTATTTTTCTGATCTTTGTCCTCCGTTGTAACTTATTTTCCTGATTATCTGCAAGAAAAGTTTTTCACTGAATGCTATATGCAGGAGAATAAACAATTAATTGCAATAAAAATTCAATTTTTTTAGTTGTTTTGGTACATATCTCCGTAAATGTCTTCTCATATCATGCATAAAGACTTGTTTACACGGGTAGAGTTGTGAGAAGAGTAGAGTAGCGAGTATAGTCGACTCTACTCGCTACTCTAACAAAAATGGCTTGATACCGTTCACACGAGGAGAGTTACAAGTATAATAGTACTGATGCTAGTATAGTGTGGAGTGGGTGTTTGTTTAGTGCAAAATTAATTCAAGAAAAAGAAAATTGATGCAAAATTGTTTAGCTACAGTTGCAAATCCATTTCTAACTGAAGTCGCTGAAGCTATCGATGATGAGGTAAACAAAACAAAGAAAGGAGTGGATGAGAGAGTGGCTTAAAAGAAGGAATAAACACGGGCCTCAGCTCTTCTGCTAAGAGAACTAGCCTAAGAGGATGAGTTGGAATATAATATGTGTCTAAGGATGACCCCAGGAAAATTCGAAGAACTTCTGAATATGGTGCATGACAAAATCGAAACAAAATCAACGTGGCATTTTATATGGCAGCCAACCGGTTTTTTGTCAAATCTGATATACAATACATTTTTTATTTCTTATTGTATTTTTCATTAACAAGTAATAAAAACCTGTAACTTACCCGTGAGCCTTCAGTTTTCTGGTTTCCTTTTGCACCTTTTATGATTGCTTCCATAGGAGTGAACCATTTCACGTTCGGAACGTATACATCGTCTGAACCTGAACCCGATTTTTTTTGACTTTTGTATTTTTAAACACTCTCGATTAGAAGTGCACCTTAGATTCTTAATTTTTTGCTTGAGCTCGTTTACCCCAAAGCCCCCTTTTGTCATTTTTCGACGATTTCGTCCTCCGCAGTTTGCCTCATACTTTTATTTCTGTAGCGTACACTACCCAAATTCCATAAACACTGGTATTCGCCATACATCTCTACAAGTTTCAAAGTATCATAACTCAAGACGGAATGACAGCGTACTTATACACTCTCCTATCTACTCTACTCTACCAGAATTTACTCTACTGAACCAAGTTTTCGAATGAGCTACAGACGCCACAATTCTGGCAACTACATCATAATTTGGGCTCATTTAAAATATTAACCATAATATAACCAAAATATTTGGTATATTATCATATACCAAAATCAGTTATTTATACCGACTAAATGTATTTTTTATATATTTTTTAGTGCTTCTGGTGTCCCGCTATGTCTAAGTGTTCCCAAGGCTACGACAGGCACCGTCAGAACTGGTTGACGAACAAATGCGACACAAACAGCTTCAGCAACGCCTCTGTTTGTTCAGCGGTATATCAAAACGAAAATACCGCCTACGTATTCGATCATAGTGATTCCGATAAGTTATCTCAGAGTAAAATGTCGTTGGCCCATAAAATGATAGGACCCAATCCGCCAAATGAGGTAGGAATGTCCGGTGTTGTAGCTATACTCTTCTTGGTTGCAATGCTGTCTGGATTGTCATTTTGGGTGTTCTACGCTTATCGGAATCCACATACGTTTAGTGGACAAATTTTAATTAGAGTGAGTATTCGATTTTATTACTATAAAATTTTTTATATTAAACCATTTTGTGAATTATTACCTAGATCTATCTAGGAACTAAAGGAATCGGATCTATTGTAAGCGGTTTTTAAAAGGGACTATTTATAATGCTTTATGAAGATTTATGTCTTAAAATATTTTCGCATGTTATTAATACATTTGAAGAATTTCAGGAATTAATTTGAACAGGTAGATATTTCCTAAAATTTATAAAAAAAGCAAAAGGCTGGACAAAAATTAAGTCTAATATCTTAGCCTCGGCCAAAAAATTTCTTGGTGAGAGAAATATAAATAAAAATAAATCGTTCCCAAGCCGAAGAACTCCAGAAGTGAAGGAAAAATGCAGAGGAAAGAAAAAAGATTACCTGAAATGTATGTCAACCAATACACAAGAGGCATACCATAATTACAAGAAATGGAACATAATTTTTACGGTCTGCAAAAGGAAATATGGCGCTTCATAAGAGGTCAAAGAACGGAGGTAAAGGAACTAATAGAACCAAAACACATACAAAAGGATACGTGCATTGACTACCATAAATGAAGAACTTTATATAAATGTACAGGAAGGTCGTAAAATACTTGAAAAGCTGAAGAGCAGCAGGTAAAGATGGAATACCAAACGAATTACTGAAATATTATGGAGCAGCAATAACAGAACAATTAACAACATTAATAAATGATAAAATACAATAAAATACTGGAAGAGTGGAAAGATAAAAAATAGCCAGAACACTACAGAGGTATCAACTTGTTAAATACTACCTTAAAACTTACAACTAAAACTTTAACAAGTATTAATACATCAGAGAATAAGTTTAGCAGAGGAACAACAGGGTTTTCGTAGTGGAAGATCGTGTACACATGCAATTTTCGTTATAAAGCAAATTACTAAGAAATCGCTAGAATGTACCAGCTTTTCTGTGTCTGATTGACATAAAGAAAGCGTTTGACAGAGCGTTTGACGTATAATAAAGAAGTTCCCCTAAATATTATAAAAACTATCGAAAAACATCTATCAAAACAACAAAATGGAAGTCAGAATAGATGGACAACTTATAGACCTATAGAAATAGGCAGCGGAATAAGACAAGGGGACTCATTGAGCCCCATGCTTTTCAATTTAATCATGGATGAAATCATCAGAAGCATTAATAAAGGAAGTGGATATAGAATGGGAAACAAACAAATAAAAATACTCTGTTACACAGACGACGCAATATTGATAGCCCAAGATGAAGATAGTCTGCAAAGATTTGTTCACAGATTTAACAGAAGAGCAAAAGAATTTAATATGACAATCTCATGACAACAGTCTAGAAGAAAGAAGTCATAAAAGGGGCGCAGCAAATTTAACACAGAAAGATACAGAGATATAGTTCATTCGTTTAGCAAATTCCCATCTGTCAACAAATGCACGTGTTGATATTCGCACTCTCACTCGTCAAGAGGCTATTAAATATAATTTATTGCCTTAAGCCAGACAGATTCTCATATTACAGATCCAAACTTGCCGATCTGATTAAATTCAAATTGTATCGTGTTGGTTTTTAAAGTTAACATATTGTGTGTTATATTTATGTTATAATTATTGTTAAGTTATTTACTGGTCGTGTTATTTTTTGGAGTTTAGTTTAATTGTGATTTAATGATTAAATTTCAAGAAATTCGTACACCTATAGTTTCAAAAGTAAATATTTTTAAAAATCATATGATACGCATCAGTACGACCCTGTTTGGCTTTCACGTGCTTCTGTTGACAATTGGGAATATGTAAAATGAATTTAGTTTAGCAAATGCAAAAGAATGTATTAAACTCCTGCGCAGAAAATACTAAATAATAAGATCAAAAACCTATGTATATAACTAAAGGAAGAGGCAGACAATAGACTGACTGCTGCATTACAGTGGCGTTCCCCCAGTGCGACAGAGAAAACTGACGCAAAGCAGTAAGGACCTGCATCTCTTTCTAATTTGACAGGTTTATCGACCACATGACCTAAATGACCAATGAGAGGATCGGTGGTCGATAGGCCCGACATATCAGAAAGAGATGCAAGAGCTTTAATTTTCTCTGTTGCACTGGGAAACGCTATTATATTGCAGCAGTCAATCTTTTTGTATTATATCTATGATTTTTTTTAACCTAATCTAACCTAAATGTTTTTATTAAACTGATTTTTTTTGTTTTTTGTTCTAGTACCGACCCAGCCAATGGAGATGGAGAAGAGGCGAAGCCAGATACACAGCAGCTACGATTCATATGTGATTTAACCAATTTTAATTCTTAGGTATTTTTTAACGTATCAGACAATTGAAAGGAAAGGCAACTGAACGTTCTCTAAAGCCGTAGTAAAACGATGAACTGTTAGTTAACCAAATTTTAGAGAACGATATTTACAGTGTTGTGCAACAAGATTTTCTGTGATAAATAAAAGGAAGGAATTGACGAGGCTCTTGAAGTACAGAAAATAATTGATTTTTTTGATTAAATCATCGTATTATGTAAATAGTTTAAGTAATAGTTAATAGGGTAAGTCTGGTAGATTCTTCATATAATATATTTTCCTAGGATATAATTTTTGTTTGTATTTATCTTATTCTATCAAAGTGTTGACCATACTTACTTCTGCGTCTTCTTACTTTTAATTTCATTATCTATTTGTTTTTAAATGTAATTCTTTCCGGATTGCCGACAATTTTGTGCAATTTTGATGGAATCAATTCGAACATATCTTATTCGAACATATCTTCGAACAGTGTATCCAGTCTTCCGATTTTTTTTGGTTTTGAAGAAATTTTCTACAGATTTTGCAGTACTTTTTAAAATCTAGTTAGTCATTTCATTAATTTGAAAAACTAATTTAGGCTTCATTACTTGATAGGATCCATTTTTCTATCCAAAGTCTCAGGTCTCATCCAGTCCTGAGCTATGTTTAAAATTTTCAGTCTCTAGCTCATTGAGAAGTTGATTCAGAATCAATTGAATCGATAAAATTCTTCCCGCTATAAACACAAACAAGTTAATAATTTTAAAATCAAATTTTAACAACTTTTCTGTAATTCATCTACCAAAATTTCAAATGCTAGTACTTTGTAATTTTTAAGCATGGTCAACTCTCCCTCTTGGCGATCTGTATTGGACTTACCCTAGTATATAATACAAATTAATCCATTTTATCAATTATTTTTTGTTCTTTGAGCCGACAAATAACCAACGTGGCCTTTGTTTCGTGCCTTAAGATATTTTGTATACATTTTTGAAGATTGTTGTAGTTGTTTTTCAGGTGTATATACATATATTTGACTATTTTGTATTGTATATTTTTACCCGATTCCTCCAGTTACAAAATCGATAGTTAGTGCGATGCGCAATCGATACATTTTCGATATATTTCAGCAAGTATACCCTTGGGAGGCCCCCTCCACTACTATTTTCACGTCACAGTCATACCCCCTTTCGGTTATGACGCAGCTGTCAGTCAACTGTCAATTCGCCGTATTGTCTCACCTGTCAATTTGTCTTCTTTTTCAACATCATAGTGGCGCGAACTTGTCGTCAAAGGATCGTTATTCTTTTTCTTGTGCGAAATTCGTGTATCTCCGTTGTTATCGATCCGTTCGAGACGTGCGAGGTATCATGTGATAGCTTTTAAAATCACGCAAAAAAAATGTGCTAGCAAAGGCACTGGTATGTACGCCAAAAGTGAAAATAGAAAAAAATATTAAAATTCATAATATTCACCTTCTTTTTAAACTTTTCTTATGTTCCACCAGTCAATTCGTCATCTTCTTTTTCATTTGTCACGTTAAACGTCATCTGCCAGCCGTCCAGCCATTTAATCTCTGTATCTACCTATACGAACAACAGTCTTAACATCCACTCTTTGACATAAGTCTCCGTTCACTACATACGACTACTGCTTGACATATGATAAACGCGAAACAGTCCCAACGTTCACTGACAGTGCGAAGTGTCATACAATAGAATTTAGTGAATATTAATTAATAAAAAGGCAGCATGTTGAAGTAATCTTAGTTCTTTTTCGCGCGTGTGTAGGTTCACGTACCTGTGTTGATCCGATCGAGGCATGCGAGATAACACATACGTGATGTAGTATCTGCAATATTGAAAAGGGGCACGACGTGTGACGTTAGAGTGGTACTGAAGGGGTGGCTCCCAAGTAAGGGTATTCCTTATTTCATTGTAAACTTTTGACATTTGGTATAAAACAGAATGATGTGAATTTATTAGTAACTAATCAGACAGGTGCAGTTGATTTCAGTAATATATACTGTCGAGCGTGATATTGAAACAATTGCCCCTATAGTTATACATATCTGTATTAATGTGACCTGTGCGTATTCTAGTTAATTACGCACGCTTTTTTTTATAGAAAGGACTAGATTTTTAACGGACGATATATTTCTGGAGGGAACTGTACAGCCACTTATTTTACATTGTTTCTTCTATTTCTGTATTTTCCGATGGTCACTTACTTTTTGGAAAAGTGGAAGACCAGGAGAATTAAATTAGAGAGTAGGAAAAAAACCAATACTGCATTGCTTTTGATGTGAATGTGTTGTCGTACGATCCGTTGAGAAAACTCACATTCGGTAGATATAATTTAAGTGTGCGTATGTGTATGAAAAGTGTCTTAAAAAATGTTTATACGTCACGTATAAGCTCAGTGGCCCCAGGAAAAGGTAAATAAACTGAAAATACCAAAACAATAAGTGAACATTAACATATCTTTACTAGATATTTTTGTGGTTCCTTATATAGACAACAATGTCATAGTTTACAATATGTATCAAACAATTCCTTATCTTTTTTGTAACAAAATATAGATATAAGTTTTAAATTAAGCATTTATCTCATTAATTTAAAGAGAATCATTAGACCTTGTACCATTTTAAGTTGTAGAATATTGTATAATCTTTTGCTTCTACATAAATTACATAATAAATAACCGAAATAAATCAATACCTTTATTAACACCTGCGCATTGACTCTAGAAAAGTTGTTGCGTAGATAAAAAGTCGTTATTCAGAACATCAAACATAAGCTAAAGTTTGTTGTATATGAAGCTTCTCTTATATACATAAAATAACCAATTATTCTTTTATAATAGAAGTTTTATCAGCCGCCATGTTTTTCGTACAGACAGATTTCACAATACAATACGTCATACATTTATAAATTTGTAAAGAAATATTTATTAATAAATATTTAATAAAGAAATACCATTGCTTATAAAGAAATAAAGCGCTTTAGGAAATTTATAAAATAATTATTTATATTACTCATCTAACCTGTTTGTTTACAAAATGTCTGTTCGAAAAAAATGGCTGACACTATTCCATGATGAATAGGCGTATTTATCGCCTTAGAAAATCATCTTTAAAACGTCACTGTCAGGACCGTCAACTAACTGCTAAACCAGGGGACAAAATTTTATATTTGTCAATTCCAAAATTTTACAGAATCTTCTTTTTATTCGTTTGAATGTTTCTGACCCTTTTGTTAATTGTATGGCGTTAATATTTTTTCTATCTATAGTTAAATATCTACCTCTATAATTAAAGACAGTATTATAAAATGGCGAACGAGTCCTTAAAATTGGTATTTTGATAGATGTGGTTTATATTGTTAATAGACATTTAAAAACTTCCGAAATGTTATTGGTTTCTCACGCAATCGTACTTTATTCGATTCTAAAATATAACGAAGCTATAACAATTCTTCATGTTTTACAATTTAGCTTACAAGAAATGCGATTTGTTTAAAACAGGACCAATAAAAAACACTTAGTGCCTGATATAACCTAACATAACCTCAACGTCCTTTCATACATCATGTTGGCACACAATTAACATAAACAGTAATAATCATAGATAAATAATAAATAGTGTAATAATTATATTCCGTGATCGGTTGATAGGTACTTCATTCTGTATATCAGTGACATTTCTGCTTCACGTTGATTTTTTCATCATATTTTCATCGATGTGATCTATTATACAAATACTACTTATTTGAGAGTTCATAATTCTATTTTACTATATTAATGTAAATTCCTATAGGCTGGCTGTGCTATTTTTATAGAACTGTAACAACATGTGAAGCAGGTTTAGTCTGATGAGATGTTCTGAATAAAGATATTGATAATATTTTTTAGTTCTTATAAAACAATTCTTGTAGTTATTTAATTAGTTATTAACACAGTTTTTAATTTGTTAATGACTTCTAAAATTTATTTCTATTTCTGACTTTATTTCATTATATCGTTATTATTTTCTTTTAATATTTTTCAAATTACGTTTGTATACATATTTTCAAAACTGTATGTTAATAAAACTATTTTAAATGAATACTGTTGTTTTTATATTTTCTGAGGCGGCGTTCATACTTGGGCGATATCCGATAAGCGACATTTTATCGCCTCGATATATTGCTAGGAAGGTTCAAAGAGAACGGACGATAAATCGTCGCGACAGTGCGATGATGGTAGAAGCACAATTCTCTTCAGTTACAATTATGAGCTCAAGTTAGGAAGACGTTGCAGTGGCTTATTGGTTTAGACGTAGAATGAGAAGAAAAAGAAAATTCTAGGTACATCCTTAAAATCTCTTCAACGTGCACCATAGCTCGGCTGTTGTTTCCAGAGAGCTGTCTCAACATGAATCAAAGTTTAAAGAATTTTATCGAATGAAACCTGAAAATTTTCATTTTCTCAAAAGCTTAGTGTCAAGAACCATTGAAAAAAAAGATACATACTTCAGGAAGGCTATTTCTCATGAAAAATTCCTGATTAATATAAAGTAAGTAGCTATAAATATAATCAGCAATTTAAATAAAATATAGACGATTTATTTTCATTTTTTTTATTATTGAAATAGTTTTATTTTTATAGTTTTTTAAAACTTAAAACTCCGTAGTTGCTGCAATATTACGCATGTGAGATTCAGTTTCTTCTTCCAATGGCGCTACAGCCCAAATTGAGCCTTGGCCTCCTGTAACTTCTGCCTCCAACAAAGGCGATCCCGCGCCACTCGTCTCCAAGCCCTGACGTTCAATAAGTTGTGCGCATCTGCTGTGACTTCGTTCTCCCATCTATTACGTGGTCTTCCCTTTGGTCTTCTGCCCTGCATTTTACCATCCAAGGCCTTTCTCGGCAATCTGTCGGCATCCATCCGTACCACATGACCAGCCCATCGAAGCCTTTGTACTCTAGCGAACTCTGCAATAGGTGCTTCTTTGAACAGTTGGTAGAGTTCATGGTTATATCTAGATCTCCACATCCCATTTTGAGTGATGGGTCCAAAGATCTTCCTTAGGATTTTTCTCTCGAAAACCTCTAATCTTCGTTTAGTGCTTTCTGTCAAAACCCATGTCTCGCATCCATAGCATACTATCGGTCTGATGATAGTTTTATAGACCTTAAGTTTCGATTTTCGATGTACCGTCTTGGAGCGGAATATGTTAATCAGGAAAAATAGGCTTTATTTCCCTTCATTATTCTCTTCTGAATTTCGGCCTCTTCTGTTCCCTCCGTATTCATTTCGACTCCCAGATAAGTAAAACTCTTCACTGTTTCAATGTCATCCTCTACTTTGATTTGATTTCTTGTTCGCTTTGTCCGCGTCTGTGTTAGTATTTTTGTCTTCTGTGTATTTATTTCAAGTCCAATCTCCTTGGCCGTTTTTTTCAGCTGCGAATATGTTTCTGCTGCATCATCCACTCTGCGGGACATGAGGTTAATGTCATCCGCATATGCGGCGAGCTGGACTGATTTGTTTGTTAGGAGATTGGCTCTTCCGACATTCAGCTTTCTGATGACATATTCAAGGGCCAGATTGAACAGTGTTGGAGCTAGTCCATCACCTTGTTTCAGCCTTGAACTATTTCGAAGCTGTCAGTTAATTCGTACTGTATGCGTACAGTTGCTATTGTGGAGTCCATCGTTGCTTTTACTAGTCGGATATATTTCAAGGGAATATTGAAGCTTTCCATGATGTTATATAACCGGCTTCTATTTATGGAGTCATAAGCCTGTTTGAAGTCGACAAATATATTGTGAACATCAATATCGTGTTCCCAAGCTTTATTAAGGATTTGCTTTACTGTAAAAAGCTGATCTATTGTCGACCTGCCTTGTCGAAAACCGGTCTGGTATTCGCCGATAATATTTTCACATAATGGTTGAAGTCGCCTATTCAGGATGGATGTAAAAATTTTGTAGGCCGAACATAGGAGGGTTATGCCGCGGTAATTTTCGCATTTAAGTTTGTCCCCTTTTTTGTAGATTGGGCAGATAATCCCATTTTTCCAATCGCTAGGAATTTTTTCTTCCCTCCATACCTTAGATATGAGAGGGTGTGCACCTGCGTTGTTAGATGTTCGCCACCTAATTTATACAGTTCGGAAGGGACATCGTCAAATCCCGGCGCTTTGTTGTTTCTTTGCGCCTGTATTGCTTGTTTGACTTCTTTAAGAGTCGGGCTGCTTATTGCTTCGTCTCCTTCCTCGATGTGCCGCAAATCCGAAGATCGTGAGCTTCCTTGTGCTCCTAGCAGAGCTTGGAAATGGCTTTTCCAAACTGATTTTATTTGCGTTGGTTCACTAATTATCTTATCTGTTTGGTTTCTGCACAGACTTGTTCGGGGTTTGTATCCTTCTCTTAGTTGTCGAAGATATTTATATGCCTCCCTTAGATCGTTGCTTTGGAGGTTTTGTTCCATTTTCTGTATCTTATTATTTTCCCATTTTCTTTTTTCTCCTCGACATATTTTATCCGCCCTGCGTCGTAGCTCCTCGAAAAATGTTCTTCTTTCTCTGGTTCGCCTTTCCATATATTTCTTGTGAGCTTCATTTCGTTCGTATATGGCCCGTCTACACTCTTCGTTGAACCATTCTGCCCTTTGCTTCTTTACCTTTTTACCGATGGTCTTTGTTGCTGCATTTAATACTTTTGTCTTCATTTGTTTCCAATGTTCTTCAATGTCTAGGTTATCTGTGTTTGTAAGTGTCTGGGTTATTTCTGTCTCGTAGCTCAGTTTAACGTTTTGTTGGCTTAGTTTATCAATGTCCAACTGCTCTTTTATCTGTTCTTTCTTATCTCTGTTTCTGAGATCCTGCATCTATATTTTGCTTGTACCAGCAAGTGATCAGATCCACAGCATGCTCCTCTTCGACTTTTTACATCTAGGATGTTGGTGGCAGCTCTTTTGTCTATTAAGACATGGTCAATTTGGTTAGTAACCGCTCCACCTGGCATGATCCACGTTTGTTCCACGAGATTCAGTTTGTTCAATTGAAATGATGGATTCTACATTTTCTCGTTCATCTTCCTCTAACAACTTATGAAACAGAGACATTGTATTTTGAAAGTCCTCTTACGACGTAAACTAAGGTTTTTCAGATCAGGTAAAAGAGAAAGAAGGAAATGCTGTTCACCATCTTGATTATTTTTATTAACAAAATTTTTCGTTTTTAACCATTCTATAAAAGCATCGTCGATTTTTTCTATTAACCAACCGAGCAGGTTTTTCTATTAATTGCTCTAAAGAAGCTTCATCAGGTATTTTCTCTTCAATAATTGTCTCACTTCCATCATTTTGATTAGTATATGACTCCTCTACTGCAATATCTTAAACATGAGTAAGATTTGCTAAGGCTTCTCCTCCTTTCAAATATGATGGCAGAAAAGCTAAATGTTCTATTATTTATTTTATCCGCGGAAAATTAAACATTTGGATACAAGATTTTCTATCCGACAGATACTTCAGGGTTCGTGTTGGGGAAGACCACTCATTAGATAAGCCAGTCAAGAGTGGAGTTCCACAAGGATCAGTACTTGGACCGCTACTTTTTGTGTCTACACTAGTGATCTTCCGCTATTGTATCCAGTAAGGTTTCCATTTACGCTGATGACACTAAGTTATATGTGAATCCAACTATTAACCAACATATTCTTCAACAAGATCTTGACGCAATATTCAAATGGTCCTCAGAATGGTTACTTCCGCTTAACATTGAAAAATGCGTTGTTTTACATATCGGCAAAAATAACCCATCACTTCCGTACTTTATTAATGGACATCCTTTAAACTCTGTAACCTCACACAACGATCTCGGAGTGATAATTAATAGTGACTTAAATTGGTCTGATCACATAGTGTCGGTGTGTAAACGTGCTAACTCGAAACTGTTTTTGATTCGTAAGTGTTTTGCACGCATATCTCTAACCTCTTTTAGTAAACTTTACTCAATATACGTTAGACCTATTCTTGAGTTTGCCGGACCAGTGTGGAATCCAGATCTTAGTCGCGATAAAATTCTACTTGAAAACGTTCAGCGTAAAAGCCACAAGACTGGCATATGGCCGTGTAAGACCTAACTATGAAGATAGACTATTCATGGCTCATCTTACGACATTCGAGCAGCGACGTCTTCGAGGTGACCTAATTATGTCCTTCCGTATTTTAAAACATAATTTTGGGAACCTAAACAACATATTTACTTTGAATGAAGACGATAGATTAAGAGGCCATCAATACAAATTAAAGAGGGAACAAACTACTGCAAGGTCCAGGGCGAACTTCTTGCCAAACAGAATCTTTAATATATGGAACAATTTGGATCAAAACACCATATCGGCAGCTAGTTTTAACATCTTTAAAAATAAACTTGACAGCACTTTATTTTTTTTATAGGATAGGATATTTTTTCTCGGACAGCATTATTTATTTATTTATTGTGTCACAATTCAATTTTCATTAATTGTTTTAACTACTTAACTTTATAATTAGTATTAGTTTTATAAGGATCTATTTTATTTTTGTTTATTTTTGCTTTTTGGGCATAATAGGAGCTCGCTCCTCTGCCCTTATTTGTTATATAATAATAATAATAATAATAATAAATAATAACTTTTCTTTGAATTTTGACTAGCCCCAGACTTTGGCGGTTTCAGTGAGCTCACATACAGGGTGGTGAATCGTCAAGCGGGCCATAGGAAACTCGATGAGAAATTCTAAATTGTTGAATTCCTGCTTCCCTAATTATTTTACACCAAAAGTCATGGGAAACTATTTGTAGAGAACTCAAATATGTATCGAAAACAATTGTTAAAATTGTTCTACGACTTAAACTTATTCCAAAATTTTGCTAAAATGTAATACATTTTTCAGGCCACCCCTAAAAGTCAGGCCAGACGCCGCGAAAAGAATGTGTATTACGTGTTGCGTTTTGTCATATTGACGTTTCTAATATTTGCCAATATTTAAATCAGCTATATTATATTTATCTATGATTTAAATGGCCAAAATTTTGTGATTTATTATTTAAAAGAAAAATTAAGTTGATTA